GTATGTTTTGTTATTAGTTTAAGTATTTGTTATTGACTGTTCAAATGCAGAGTTTGCGCAGTGCAGAGTAACGCATCGTGTGTGAGTGAGTGAGTGAGTGAGTGAGTGAGAGAGAGAGGAACAGGGTCACACAGGAGAGTGAACTGTCTGTCAGAAATCATAGCACGTCAGCTGTCTTAACCGCGGCTTGTGTACTGCATCATCACTGTGTCCGTCACTCGACTCTGTTGCCCTTTCGGGCTTGAACTGATGGTAAAACTAATGACATTATTAACTGTCTTGATTTTTACTTTGAAAGCTGACGCTTGCGATTATGGTAAGGGGCGTTACATTTCCGACGCGTGCTTGTGGTGTTCGGCCAATCACAATGCACTGGGTCAGCTGGCCAATCAGAGCAGACTGCGCTTGTCAAAGGAGGGGGCTTTGTTGAAAATGACGTGTTTGAGAGAGGCGGGGCATAGAGGACCTACAATAATGTACAGTATTTGAAAAATAATGTGTTTTTCGAACATTAAAGCATGTCAACATTCTATTACATCAAATAATGATCTTCAAAATAGCATCATATGACCCCTTTAATTAAAATTAAAAGTAGTGACTAATTGTAGTGAATTTGCCATTGTAGTGCACTTCAAATCTTTTAAGTATTAAAAAAGACTTGCAGATAATGTAAAAGTGATATAAAAGGCCACTTAAAGGGATAGTTCACCCAAAAATGAAAATGTTATCCTTTACTCACCCCGTTACAAACGTTCATGACTGACTTCCTTCTGTTGAACAAACAAAAAAAGATTATATCTTAAAGAATGTTGGTGCCAAACAGTTGCTGGTAGCCACAAACTTTATCGGATTCGAACAAGTAAAATCATTGTAGAATTATTGAACATTAAATTAACTAAATTAATGTAGAGGTAAAAATCCATCTCAACATGCTAGTTATATCTGGTTGTCGCGGTTTAGAACCAATACACTCCACTGACAAAATCATAACGGTTTTTAATGCATTTATTTATTAATTACTCTTGACTATCATTTATGAGTGCATTTAGATTACAAATTAACATTCTTGCATTTAGATTTTCACGAAAAAAAAAAAAAAAAAAAAAAGGATACCATCAACTGTTTGGTTACAAACATTCCAAAAAATAAAAAAATAAAAAAAAATTCACGTTCAACAGAAGAAACCGAGGTATGGAACAACTTGGGGGGTGAGTTTCCATTTTGAGGTGAACTATCCCTTTAAGTGTATTTTGAGAGTACACTTTCGTGACTATTTAACTTTAATTGAATGACTTAATACATTTTAAAACTACTTATAACAATCATTTGTTGGGCTTTGATGTACACATTTTGATAGGTTGGCTAACATTCTACATGTAAAGTACTTTAATTGTAATAACACACTACAGTTATAATAATAATAATAATAATGTTAATATATTTAATATTTTAGTGTACTAAATTTCAACATTACCAACAGTATCAAGTTCATGTTTCCATTAAACATTGGTTTTAACACTCAAGTACCTCTGGTAACAGACATTCCTCTTTTTTAGCAGCCAGAAAAAGGCAAACCACACCCAGTAACTGCAGGCCAGAGACGGACACTTTGATGAGCCTTAGTGCTCGATTCAACAGGTGCACTGCCAGATACAACGTTTCCTCTGAGAACTGAAACACTTCCTGAGGTGAAAACAAGCATCAATCACAAACTTAAACAAATTAAATTTTTAGCATAATATACACTACTGGTCAAAAGTTAGTAATTAAGATTAATAAAATGTAAAAAAAACATTGAGAGTCTAATGCTCACCAAGGCTGCATTCATTAGATTAAAAACACAGTAAACAATATCATTAAATGTCCATTTAAAAATGACGTTTTCTATTTGACTATTTAAAGAATAAAACGGCAGCCATTACTCCAGTCTTCAGTGTCACATGATCTTTCAGAAGTCTTTTTAATGATTTGTGCGCAAGAAACATTTCTTCTTATTATTGAAAGTTGTGCTGCTTAATATTTGAGGAAAGCATGAAACACTACCAAAGTATTGGGGTCAGTAGGACTTAACCTTATTCAGCAAGGACAAATTAAACCAAAAAGTGACAGTAAGTTTGTAATGTTACAAAATATTTTTTATTTCAAATAAGTGTTCTTTTGTCTCTATTCAAAGAATACCAAAATATTCAGCTATGAGCAGTTCTTAACACAAGAACCATTATTAATGAAGCACCAAAAAAATGATAAAATATCAAATCAGGATATTAGAATAATTCCTGAAGGACCAAGTGACACTAAAGACTGGAGTAATGGATACTGAAAAGCCACTCACGGTCAGAAACGGAACAAAGAGGTCACGCTTACAAATCTGAATATTGCACTTACATGGACTTGAATTAGCCAGTCCACCAAGATAGCTCTCGTTGTGTCACTGAAATGCTTGGGCAGGTCAGCGTTTGGGAGAGTGCATAGTAGCTGACTTCTCTGCAAGCAGAAGAAACAAACACATGACCACAGTGATGGGAAGATCGACAGTACTTTGCATGTCATCCTCACCATCATGTCTGAAAAGATGTCCCATGCATAGGTCTTATCATAGAGGAGCCCCAGCTTACTGATGGCTACTTCCACCTCTCTGCGCAGAAGTCCAGGCATCAGTTCTTGCAGACTAGGTGGAGCTGGCAACCTGTTCAGATACTTCAGCAAAGCCTCCTCGTCATAGACATCTGGCATTGCTGCACAAGAATAAATGTGCAACTGAGACTATAAAATGTCTTCGGGATTTCAGAAAACAGTGTAACGTCAGTTTGTTTGAAACCTTGGTTTGTTTAAAAACAAAGGGGGTGGGGGTTAATATGACGGTATTTTCTGCATTTACTTATTTTTTTTCGCATTTACTAGTTTTGCAGTGTTGTTAGAGGAATTGTCTGTAAAGTCAACAACAACAAAAAAAAATGTACCTGCCAGAAGGTTAAAAATTCTTACAGTGTGGCAATGAAACTATAGGACACCGTTTGTGCTACAGACATGAATGAAGCAGCTTGATGGACAAGAAAATCAGGGAAGAATCTTAAACTGGAGTGACCCAAGCAGTACCGCCGCTCCCTATACGCAGAGTACGCAGTTTGCATAGGGCACCAAGTCCCAGGGGGGCACCCGCATCCACACTCGCGACCGCTCGCACCTCATGTTTGCGGCTGAATGCAAATGATCATAATTGATGGATGGACATCTATGCCCATGAAAAGACATCAGCAATCCGGTGCAGAGAGAAGAAAAAATAAATAAATAAATTTTTTTAAACAAGTTTAAAACTAAGCCCGTGCATCACTTTCAGGCACATTCATAACCCTGTGAAACGTTTTTGGCTGTTGACGTTAATAACGTGTTTTAATGTCGGAAATAATTTCACCACAAATAACGCATCTAATATTCTCCCTGACTTTCCATGTTCCCTTATGAAAATTAGCCATGGTTTTAACAAACACCACCTAAAATAAAAAAAAATCATCTTGTAGCCATGGTAACCACAAATTAACCATGGTTTTGTTACTTGAAATAATAAATTTACAACGCATTAAGATAATTTGTGGTTATAAAAACAGACCTAAGCCAACAATAGCCTTTAAAATGACTCAATGCATTATATAAAAACAATAAGGCAATAATGATCGGTTAATAAAATTGTAGATACATAATGTAGGCTAATACAAAAGAAACTATTTATGTACATTACTTATTACAAATGCCTGCAAAGGGAGCCAAATGCCATGTAATTGCTGCTGCTACACTTACAGGACAATCATATCCTTGTTTAGGCTATTGCCAAAACATTTAATTCAAATATTCACTTAATATTTCATTTTTGGCCAGCTTTTTGCTAGCTATATATATATATATAGATAGATGACACAGCCTCTATAATTTCTTCAACAAAAAAAAAAAACATTTGTGGACATCACAACCCTTACAAAAATAAACCATGGTTTCACCGTAGTAAAACTGCTTCATTTACTTTTGCATGATTTCTGAATGCTTGAGACTATAAAATCAATCAGACAAAAGTATTAATAAAGTCATAGCCATAGGTAACCATCTAGACTTGTAATTTGTAAATACAATT